CCTACCTCCTACACCATACACTTGTAACATCTGCCACATTGCCCCCCTATCCACCCTGTCATAAAGCCTTTTCCCCAAAACCATAAATGCCACAAAGACCTCTTTAGCCTTATCTAAATACTGTTCACTTATATGTTTCACTGTAAACACCTGGTCCACACACCCCCTACCTTTCCTAAAGCCCCCTTGTTCACTGCTATCCTATTCTCCGTCTTACCCCTTAATTCTTTCAATTATAACTCTACCAAAAAACTTTACCAGGTACACTCAACAGACTTATCCCCCTATAATTTTTGCACTCTCTTTTATCCCCTTTTTCCTTTTAAAAGGAACTATGCATGCTCTCTGCCAATCCCTAGGTACCCTTTCCCTCTTTTCCCTACATTTATAAATAATTGCACCAACCACTTCCAAAACTATATCCCCACCTGCTTTTAAACATTTCTATCTTTATCCCATCAATCCCGGGTGCCTTACCCCCTTTCATTTTACCTACTGCCCACGAACTTCCCCCACATTTCAAAAACTGGCTCTTCCTCACTCCTACAAGATGTTATTCCTCCTTGCCCTATACACGAAATCACAGCTTCCCTATTTTCATCAACATTTAACAATTCCTCAAAATTCCTTCCATCTTTCCCCAAAACCTCTAACTCTCCATTTAATAACTCTCCTCTCCTATTTTTAACTGACAAATCCATTTGTTCAAAAAATATATATATATATATTATATAATACAATAAGATCACAGTAAACATGTGATTTCAGAATATGCAAACAACCACTCTGAAAGAATAGAGAAGTTCCAAGCGCTTTCGTGACTACTCACATTATCAAGGAACAATCATTGTTCCTTGATAATGTGAGTAGTCACGAAAGCACTTGGAACTTCTCTATTCTTTCACAGTGGTTGTTTTGCATATTATATATATAATAATAGGTAGTAGGTTGGTAGACAGCAACCACCCAGGGGAAATAAATACCGTCCTGGGCCCGATGACTGTGAAACAGAAACCTGTAACTGTTTTGCATGATGGTAGGATTGCTGGTTTCTTTTTCTGTCTCATAAACATGCTAGATAACAGGTATATCTTGCTACTCCTACTTACACTTTGGTCACACTTCACTGACACGCACATGCATATATATATATATACATACATCTAGGTTTTTCTCCTTTTTCTAAATAGCTCTTGTTCCTCTTTTTTCTTCTATTGTCCATGGGGAAGTGGAAAAGAATCTTTCCTCCGTAAGCCATGCGTGTCGTATGAGGCGACTAAAATGCCGGGAGCAATGGGCTAGTAACCCCTTCTCCCCGTAGACTTTACTAAAAAAAGAAAGAAGAAAAACTTTATAAAACTGGATGCTTAAATGTGCGTGGATGACCAAGAAACAGATGATTGCTGATGTTATGAATGAAAAGAAGTTGGATGTCCTGGCCCCAAGCGAAACAAAGCTGAAGGGGGTAGGGGAGTTTCAGTGGGGGGAAATAAATGGGATTAAATCTGGAGTATCTGAGAGAGTTAGAGCAAAGGAAGGGGTAGCAGTAATGTTGAATGATCAGTTATGGAAGGAGAAAAGAGAATATGAATGTGTAAATGCAAGAATTATGTGGATTAAAGTAAAGGTTGGATGCGAGAAGTGGGTCATAATAAGCGTGTATGCACCTGGAGAAGAGAGGAAATGCAGAGGAGAGAGAGAGATTTTGGGAGATGTTAAGTGAATGTATAGGAGCCTTTGAACCAAGTGAGAGAGTAATTGTGGTAGGGGACCTGAATGCTAAAGTAGGAGAAACTTTTAGAGAGGGTGTGGTAGGTAAGTTTGGGGTGCCAGGTGTAAATGATAATGGGAGCCCTTTGATTGAACTTTGTATAGAAAGGGGTTTAGTTATAGTAAATGCATATTTTAAGAAAAAGAGGATAAATAAGTATACAAGATATGATGTAGGGTGAAATGACAGTAGTTTGTTGGATTATGTATTGGTAGATAAAAGACTGTTTAGTAGACTTCAGGATGTACATGTTTATAGAGGGGCCACAGATATATCAGATCACTTTCTAGTTGTAGCTACACTGAGAGTAAAAGGTAGATGGGATACAAGGAGAATAGAAGCATCAGGGAAGAGAGAGGTGAAGGTTTATAAACTAAAAGAGGAGGCAGTTAGGGTAAGATATAAACAGCTATTGGAGGATAGATGGGCTAATGAGAGCATAGGCAATGGGGTCGAAGAGGTATGGGGTAGGTTTAAAAATGTAGTGTTAGAGTGTTCAGCAGAAGTTTGTGGTTACAGGAAAGTGGGTGCGGGAGGGAAGAGGAGCGATTGGTGGAATGATGATGTGAAGAGAGTAGTAAGGAGAAAAAGTTAGCATATGAGAAGTTTTTACAAAGTAGAAGTGATGCAAGGAGGGAAGAGTATATGGAGAAAAAGAGAGAGGTTAAGAGAGTGGTGAAGCAATGTAAAAAGAGAGCAAATGAGAGAGTGGGTGAGATGTTATCAACAAATTTTGTTGAAAATAAGAAAAAGTTTTGGAGTGAGATTAACAAGTTAGAGAGCCTAGAGAACAAATGGATTTGTCAGTTAAAAATAGGAAAGGAGAGTTATTAAATGGAGAGTTAGAGGTATTGGGAAGATGGAGGGAATATTTTGAGGAATTGTTAAATGTTGATGAAGATAGGGAAGCTGTGATTTCGTGTATAGGGCAAGGAGGAACAACATCTTGTAGGAGTGAGGAAGAGCCAGTTGTGAGTGTGGGGGAAGTTCGTGAGGCAGTAGGTAAAATGAAAGGGGGTAAGGCAGCCGGGATTGATGGGATAAAGATAGAAATGTTAAAAGCAGGTGGGGATATAGTTTTGGAGTGGTTGGTGCAATTATTTAAATAAATGTATGGAAAGAGGGTAAGGTACCTAGGGACTGGCAGAGAGCATGCATAGTTCCTTTGTAAAAAGGCAAAGGGGATAAAAGAGAGTGCAAAAATTATAGGGGGATAAGTCTGTTGAGTATACCTGGCAAAGTGTATGGTAGAGTTATTATTGAAAGAATTAAGAGTAAGACGGAGAATAGGATAGCAGATGAACAAGGGGGCTTTAGGAAAGGTAGGGGTGTGTGGACCAGGTGTTTACAGTGAAACATATAAGTGAACAGTATTTAAAATAAGGCTAAAGAGGTCTTTGTGGCATTTATGGATTTGGAAAAGGCGTATGACAGGGTGGATAGGGGGGAAATGTGGCAGATGTTGCAGGTGTATGGTGTAGGAGGTAGGTTACTGAAAGCAGTGAAGAGTTTTTACGAGGATAGTGAGGCTCAAGTTAGAGTATGTAGGAAAGAGGGAAATTATTTCCCAGTAAAAGTAGGCCTTAGACAAGGATGTGTGATGTCACCATGGTTAATATATTTATAGATGGGGTTGTAAGAGAAGTAAATGCGAGGGTCTTGGCAAGATGCGTGGAGTTAAAAGATAAAGAATCACACATAAAGTGGGAGTTGTCACAGTTGCTCTTTGCTGATGACACTGTGCTCTTGGGAGATTCTGAAGAGAAGTTGCAGAGATTGGTGGATGAATTTGGTAGGGTGTGCAAAAGAAGAAAATTGAAAGTGAATACAGGAAAGAGTAAGGTTATGAGGATAACACCCTGAGGCAGGGTGACCCAAAAAGAAAACTTTCATCATTCACCACTTTCACCTCACTCACACATAATCACTGTTTTTGCAGAGGTGCCCAGAATACAACAGTTTAGAAGTCTTCTTTCTTTCTTTCAACATACCAGCCGTATCCCACCGAGGCAGGGTGGCCCAAAAGAAAAAACTAAAGTTTCTCTTTTTAAATTTAGTAATATATACAGGAGAAGGGGTTACTAGCCCCTTGCTCCCGGCATTTTAGTCGCCTCTTACAACACGCATGGCTTACGGAGGAAGAATTCTGTTCCACTTCCCCATGGAGGTAAGAGGAAATAAACAAGAACAAGAACTAGAAAGAAAATAGAAGAAAACCCAGAGGGGTGTGTGTGTGTATATATATGCTTGTACATGTATGTGTAGTGTGACCTAAATGCAAGTAGAAGTAGCAAGACATACCTGAAATCTTGCATGTTTATGAGACAGACAAAAGACACCAGCAATCCTACCATCATGTAAAACAATTACAGGCTTTCGTTGTACACTCACTTGGCAGGACGGTAGTACCTCCCTGGGTGGTTGCTGTTTACCAACCTACTACCTAGAAGTTTAGAAGTATATACATATAAAAATACACAATATACAAACCGGTCGTAAGTCAAACTTTACTACTGAATATCAACAAAACATTTTTGTAATGACTTTATTTTATTGTTTGGTATTTCATGTTTTACTTTACTTTTTATGCTGTTAGTACTGTATTTTATACTCTAAGGTTTAGGATAAACTGTGTACAGCACAAATAGTTGTTTATTTCCCAGAAATTTGGCATAAAAACGTGGTCGTAAGTCGAGCAGGTCATAAGTCGGATGGTAGGTGTATCCCTCCAAACTGCCAATATCTCTAAAGGAGGGGTTTGGGTGCAGGCATTGTACTTCCCATTTCCAGGACTCGAGTCCGGTTATATAAAATAACAGGTTTCCCCGAATCCCTTCACTAAATATTACCCCGCACATGCTCATGCACGCTTGCTGGAAGTCCAAACCCCTCACCCACACCACCACCTTTACCCCCTCCCTCCAACCTTTTCGAGGATGACCCCTACCCCGCCTTCCTTCCCCTACAGATTTATACGCTCTACTTTGACCCATTCTCTCTAAATGGCCAAACCTCCTCTGACTAATACTTTTATTAACTCCACACCTCCTAATTTATATATATATATATGTATATACATATACCGCTTATTCTATTATTACAATCATAACCGAGTGCTAAACCCACTAGTCATATAGCTTCTTTGTATTTGGCTGAAAAGTTTTGATCAGTTTGTGTACGTCTTACCTAGAACCTGTCAGTGTCACCATACCAGTAGAATAGAAAAAACTTTGAATGTATTCATTCTTTATTTAATACTAAAATATAGCACTTATGTACATGGCTCATAACAGCTTCATTTAACTTTTATTATAAACACACACAGGTCAAATAAACAAGTAAGAAAAATAATTTTTTTTTTTAACAGCATCAAGAACTTAATTAACAAATATACAAAACATTGGCAATTCCTTGTAACCTTATATGATTCATAGTCAGAAATGCATTCACTTAAGACACCTTTATTTAAAACATTTTGGTTCTTGAACCTTGATCACTTCAAATACAAAGAAGAGAGAAGTTGTATATAAGGGCAAGAGAGTAGTGTAGTGGTGGAATTAAAAGTAACTGGTAATAGTAGCCATTGGTGAACAACAGAAGTGGATTAGGGTTTTAATTTTTACAATCATGTTGCATGAAGTACGTTCTAATGGCATATGGGCTAATGTCGTTGAAATGTTATAAGTGTCGGCTTTATATATGCTAGTATCATAATTATTGAAGTTTCAATGCATCCTCATTGTTTTTAATTTGGTTCCCAGTAGACCAATTTAGCATCTTGACAACACATGAAAAGTTCCTCAGTTTGTGTGTGATAAGCATTGTTGGCATTAATCCTGCTGCATGCATTTTGTGGATAAATTTCTCACTTACCCCCTACATAAACCTTGTTGCACTGCCCACAGGGATTTACACTGGAAAACAAGAGGAGACATACCCATAAGAATTCATGTGCAAAAACACCTACAGCAGGGATGGCAATGCTTGTGTCATACATTGAGGGAAATCCCATACATTAGCAAAAAGCTAAATTTATTTACTGGGAACAGGATTTAAAACAAAGATGTACTGAAGCTTCACACACAGCCATCCCCAACACCTTCATTCAAAAAGTTGGCAGTTATAACAATTCAATACATTAGCCCATATTTCCATGAGACTATCAAGTGACAGCCTTACAATATGCCCTTCTCCACTTCCAGCGTCCTTTACTGACTTTTACCAGTTATACTTCTTATCACCTCTACTACTATGCAGGACTCTCATCCATTTAAAGTGATCAAGATAGGCCCAAGATTTGAAATGCCTTCAGTAAAGGGGTCCAAAGTGAATGCATTAAATTTCATTTCTCTCAAGTTGTTAGCAGTCATTTGCCTTCTTACTCTAACTGAAGATAATTTTCAGTTTTCATGTTAAGCACTAAACCCACAAGGAGTCAATAAAAAAATATGCTATTTTCATCAAATATGAATCATGAAGATTACAATAGAGATACAGTACAACTAGCATCAAAAACATTTTATGTATTATAAACAATTTTATGTACTGGTATTTTAAAATGCCAATTTGTGAAATAAACATAAGCTAGAGCCTTTCAATATTAAAAAAAATAATGTGTGTTTGGAACTATGCACGATATGCATTGTCACACCTCTTTGGTAAAACAAAATATGAAATATAGCACTGATATTTTTGTCATAATACAAAAATAAAGTGTCAAATATACATACTTGTGTTAGGATTATAGTTAAAAGTAAATTATTTATGAAGCTTCTGTTGTATACAAATAGTTTTGGAAAGAACATTTAAGCCATAATAATGTGAATGAATATCAAATTCCAGAATACAATATTCAAAACAGATGCAACAAAACAGTAGCAGCAACTTTCAAAACTAAAGACTATACACTAAATCTAAATACCATACTTTTATTACTCTACTTGCCACTTCATGCACAAGATTTAAAGTGTCGAATAATTTTGGTCCCACGGACAGGTAAACAAGATCTGGAAAACAAGATCATAATAAAAAAAAAAATTAAAACATTTTTGGATACCAAAGTGATTGTTTAATATATAATGAAAAATGCCAATATGTCATTCACTCTGTACTTGTAACATAGCATCTGGCAGTAACAAATCTCTTCAGTATAACAAAAAATTTTGTAAAATATTTTTTTAAACAATGCCAAATTTCCTTTTTAAAGACATTTTTCTAAGCTAATACAATATCTTTTGTTCAACTGGTTTACCTACAAAGATAATACTGCCTATCCAAATGCAGATTATACAAAATACACGAGGTAACATCCACATCATTTGTACACGATAAGGGAAAAAAAAAAAAGAGGGAGCTGCAATGTAGTCTTTAAAATCCTCACAGAGCCATGTTATCTATGATTGTGTTTTCAACTATAGAAAATTTATACGAAGTTACGGCTTCCCTGGGTGAATGCAGTTCTGTTCACCACTATAATGGAGAACTCTTAAACTGGGCTATTGGGGTAACCAATAATGTGTAATAAATTCTTTATCCCAGTGAACTGAAGGTTCAGCAATATAAAATATCCATTCAGTCAGGCTAGTAGTATACTACACTATAATCTATTCATCTCATATGAGAGTGCACTTGGGCCTGACATTGGTATGAGCTATATCATTCAATGCCCCAAACAAGAATGCATTTTTAATATTTATCTAATGATTCTCCATTTTAACAAACAACTACAGCTCTAATTATGCACTCATTACTAGTATTTACACTTACTACATTAATTTTTTTACATGTAACTAAAAACAAATACCAAACTCTATATATATATACAAACTCCATATCCTGGAGACTGTTAAAGAGAGAACGTAATGTTTTCTTGGTACCTCCAATGAATGGTAAGACTCGTACTAATCACCAGCATCACTAATGCAAAATATACTAACTCGTTTATAATAATTTACAAATACACATACTGTATTTCAAATAAAAACTAATTGGCTGATACTTTAGGTAAATTAAAAAAAACAAAAAAGACAGTACTACACAATGGGAACAAGATCACAATTAACTTCAATGTTCATTTTCAAATTGATTTTAAACAATTATCCTTTGTTTTTTTTTGCACCATTATATAAGCAACTGAATATATTCACATTAGTTTTTTAAAAAACAATAACAGAAGAGCACTATATGTCTAAACTCCCATTGTCTAATGTACCAAATGCTTATAATAAAACAAAATATAATGCTGTAATTACATAAATATCTTTCAAGTAACAAAGGTATTCAAAACCCAATTACAGGTTAAGAACTTTCACACAACAGCTGAAACACTGATTTACTAGCCACAAAAGATGTTGCATTTCATTTCTAATAATGTGTTTCATTCTTATTAACTTAATTTTGAATACAGCACTCAATATATACAGCTTTGTATATAAAAATAATTGCTGAAAGTAGTAACAATCTTGCAGCCCTTTCTAAAGTGACTTGAAATAAAAAGTCAAGAATAAGTTCAAGTACCTACAAATACTAAAGTTGTGGTACCTCATTATACTGTACTGCTAAAAAATTCAATACACACACAGTTATGAAAATAATTGAAAGTATTCTTTTAAGACAATGTTCAAAATACATACATTTAAACTGGAGTATGACATCTTAAACTATTAACACTGTTACTGTAACATCCTTTTGAAAATCACTAATTATAAAATATCATTGATCATGGAAGCACACAACTATTAACAATTTGATACACTGAAGTTTAGATAAATGTTCAAAAGAGTATATTGTAGCAATATTTAAAAAACTGCATTACAATACTTTCTTATAAAGTAAGCTCCACATTCAATACTTAGGGGTTTATCTTTAATAAATCTCAGAATAATTAAAAAGTTCATAACTCCTCACCCTAAATTCACTCCCTTAACCTCATGTAAACGCGGTTACAACTATAATGATAGCCTGAATAAGTGTAATGGATTATGACTCTCCAAGTGCATGAGGTGCACACTTCAACATATTTCAATACTGTGGATTAGGAGAATAGCATAATGCTACAGAGTTTGGTGTAGCATGACCAGAATGGGCTGAAGCAACTGAGTTGGGAGTAAGATTGTCAGTGCGAGTGCGACTCATGGGCATCGGTGGGCAGGGGTTGGACGAGCGCGAGGAGCTGTAACTGGCAGAGCCGCGGTAAGTTGAATAGTTTGAATCCCCAGAGTCATTTTGCTTGTTGTATGTTGCTGTACCATAAACTGGCTCTGGCTTAACAATTCCAGATTTACTTGTAACATAAAGTGTGTCCTGGCGAGGATTGTTCTTATATATACTCTCCGTGTGAGAAAGAGCAGAAAAGCTAGCAGCAGGTTTGGAACACAGACTCTGTGACTGAGCAAGATTCCTGGAATAGTTGTCCATGCGAGGTGGTGGCGGCTTAGTGTAAACAGATTGGGAACGGTTGAGGGATGTAGAACGTGGCAATGGAGGAGATTTGGCATATAAACTCTTTGAACCAGAATAAATTTCATCTTTGTTAGGAGTATAACTAGTGTCATATTTGTATGAAGAAGCATTGTAAACGGATGGAGTTCCTGTATGTCCATACATACTTGCTGGGTAACCTGTAAAAGAATTGTTGGAATAATTACTAAATTCATATATGCTATTAATTACAAAATATCAATCACATTTGGTAACTTCATAATGAAAGCATACGATAAAGTGTTAAAAAAGCACATTCATAATTTTTTCTACATCAACTGTTTCACACCAAGGTAGGCTGACCAAAAACAAAAAACACCAACCTTCATTCATTCAATAGCTGTCTTGTAAGAGCCGTACATATCACAATTCAAATAACTCTTTTAACTTCAACATCCCCACCCCTCCTTAAAGTTCAGGGGCAATGTACTTTCTGCTTCTAGGTCCAGCTAACTGGTTTGCCTAGAATCCCACCATAAATATGTAGTTACTTTTAATATACCTTTGATGAGTTCTGAGAGATTTTCTACTCCCAGAGCCCAACCTTGGGCCAGACTAATCTGGTGCTTGCTAGCCAACCAGGTTGTTGTTGCTGCTGGTGGCCCACTGACCCACATATCCATCACAGCCTGGTTGATATGGCACCTGGTGAAAGTATTTGTCCAGTTTCTTCTTGGAAGACTTCTACACTTGTCCCAGTAGTTTCTTACATGGTAAGATGCCAAATAGTCTGGGGCCATGGATACTGATACAGTGTTCCCTTATTGTGCCTACAGCACCCCCCATGCTTTTCACTTGAACAGTATGTCAAATCCCTAAAACCACACTGGTCTACACTCATCCTAATCTGATACCTGCTCGATGCTCAAGCTCCTACCACTTAAGACCACCTTCACACCCTCCTTCCAATTATTCTTTGGGATAACCCCTACCCATCCTTCATCATCCTATGTTGGTCCATCATCTCAATACCCAAATCACCTTAATCCTTCTTGCCTTCTGAATAATACTTTTCATAACCTCACATTATTTTCTTATTGTTTTGCTCTGTACTCTTAGTGGAACAATCACACCCCACATTCTTTTCAAACAACATTTCCAATACATCGAGCCTCCTCCCTGCTGCAATATTTAAAGCCCATGTACCACTATAGTCGGGCACATTCCTCTTTTTACTTCCATAGATAAACTGCATTCTCTCTTTAGAAGGCTCAACACTCTTCCTAAACTTTTTCCTTTTTTATACTGTATCTGCTGACACAGCCACTCCTAAATACCTAAAAACACTCACTTCTTCCATAACCCCTCTTTCAAATCTGATAACAAATTTCACAGTGCCTAAACTTTTTCTGTTACTCTCAGCTCGTTGTTTTCTGCCTTCACTTTTAATATTCTTCTTTTCAATGCCTTCTGAAATTCATCCAGTAATCTTTGCCATTTCTCTTCAGAATCTCCCATAAGAACTGCAGTCAGCAAAGGGCAACTATGACAACTCCCACTTTGTATCAGATTCATTATTATTCAATTCCATGGCTCTCCCCAACTTCCTACCATATACTTCTTTTACAACCCAATCTCTAAATATATTAATGTAGCATGCCTGTATATAATGGCAGAATTTACAAAAAATCTTACAGGACCCAATCACAAGTGCAGCAGTCTACAGTTCACCACATACCAACACAGCCCATTTTGGCGATAATATTACAGACCTAATCATGAACAAACAACCGTTGGAAACTAACAGCAACCTCATTTAATCAGAATACCCATCAGTACTATAAGTATCACTGGTTACAAATATAATCAGTAACCAAGCCTACAAGAACTACTGAGAAATGCACCTTCACTTAACTCTTTTAGGGTCTCTGCTATAATACTACGGCTTTGAACTGTGGGTCGGTGTCGTAGAACTATATGGTGAGCTCAGCTCACTCAGATAAGCTGTGAGTGGTAAATTTTTTGCCTAGATATGAGAGAAAGGGTCTATGTGATAAGTGTACATTGTATTAAAAAAATCCTGCCCCCCACACAGTGCATAATGGGAAAAAACCTGACCGTATTTTTGCTTTAAAATAGCGACTTTGCAGTGTATTTTTGTATGGATTTTATGGTTGTGTTCTTGGTCTCATTTGATAGAATGGAAGATATATTACAGAAATTGAGATCATTTTGATTAGTGTCAGGATTGAAAGTGGCTTGAAATTGAGCTCAAAGTAGTGGAAATGTTCAATTTTTGCCAGAGTACACAAATGTCTAATACACATCCAACTGGCCACTCTAATATGCATTTAGGAATGCACTGACATTATTTATACAATAATTACAATAATGCAGTAGCTTGCGTAACAATAAATCTTATGGTTTTGTGTGAATAAAAATTCAAAATGGAAAACAAGTGTAATATAAGAGAGGGGCCTGGAGATGTGACTAAGGAACAGAGGAAATGCTTTAGTGCCAGGAATGTCTACATTGTTTATTCTGGACCCTATTTTTATATTGGCAATTTTTGAATTTTGTGGAACTTGGCCAAATTACCAATTTATGATCACTTTATTGGGTAGTCGAAACAGGTAAATGGGTGGTTTCTTGTACTCGGAATAGAAGGAATACTAGTGAAGCAGATATGAGTTTAGTCTAGTGGAGCAGTGGAATTGGCCAAAAACAGGGTGCAAAGTGGGCGAAATCGCTGATGCGTGAGTATCGCTGAGACCGCTAACTTTGCGAGAGCATAATTCTGTAAGTTTTCCATAAAATTTTGTGCTTCTGGTTTCATTACCTTTGGAAAAAGATTCTCTGCCATTTTATATGATTTTTTTTTTTTTTAAATTTTGTGACCCTGAGAGCAAGTTTGAGAGCAGGAGTCAGGACCCTGAAAGGGGATAACCCACCTTCCGAGTTACCAACATAAAATTACCATTTGAAATTTTATAAAATCTCATTCAGACTCAATGATGATACATCAGTGAACAACATTACCATAATCAGTAATATCAACTGGCAGAGGGAATTTAACAATGATCAATGCATTAACTTGTGTGTATATGTATACCTACAGCAAAAAATCAAAACCTCTAATACATATTGTCCCTTAAAAAGTAAGCAGGTCACAACAAAAAGATTAAATAGTCCATGGCTAATCAACAATATCCTCATATCCATTGACACAATGCATAACTATGAAAAAATATAGACTAGGCTCAAGACCCAAAGAACAAGCAAAGAAAGATATAGTAGGACAGTAGAACCCCTGTATCCACTGATTAGGTATTCACAGTTTACGTGGCCCCAAAAATACCTCTAAATTTTGCATAATAATGGTCCCAAAGTGCAAAAGTAGAAAAGCTGGAAGTTGTGGAGAGCCTAAGAGAAGCCATGAAGTGCTTCCCATCAGTGAAAGTGAGAACTGTCCACTTGTTGCGCATAATTTATCAATTAAACTTTATAATAGGTATGTATAGGACATATATATGTAGGGTTCACTACTATCCATGGTAGGTTCTTGGAACGTATCCCCCGCAGATAGGGGGTCCTACCATACTGTACATCAAGTGTTCACTAAGCTAAAAAAGAAACACAAACAACTAACAGGGTTCATGTATGAAAGATACAAAAAAAAAAAAAAAAAAAAAAAAAAAAAAAAAAAAAAAAAGACCTGGTACACATTCAAGTCAAGTACAGTGGAACCTAGGTTTTCGTGATTAATTCGTTCCAGAAAGTCTGACGAAAACCGAATCGTATCAAAAATGAAGCAATATTTCCCATAAGAAATAATGTAAATCCAATTAATCTGTTCCAGACACCCAAAAATATTAAAAAAAAAAAATTTTTTATAGAGAATAACTAGTTTTACATACAGAAAACAATGAAAAATAAATATAAATAACTAATGAAATGGGTAAATGAACATTTAACATCACTCTTCCTTTTATTGAAGACTCTTGTTGGCGTATGGAAGACGGCAAGGAGGGGAGAGGGAGGAGAGGTTATCGTTTGGAAGGGGAATCCCCTTCCATAAGGGCTTCAGGTATCAAGCCCTATCCGGGGTTACTTCCCTTCTTTGTCTTTTACTGGCACTAGGACCAGCTTCAGAGTCACTGTACCCCTGTCGCACAAAAAATCTGTCCAGAGAGGTCTGTTTCTGGCATCTCTAAGATTTGCCTAAAATGGGACAAGACACTGTCATTGAACATGTTGCAGACATGGCTTGCAACAGCTCTGTTAGAGTGATATTTCTCCACAAAACTTTGCAACTCACTCCACTTCACACACATCCTTAATCACTGAAGAAAGCACATTCTCCCTTCTCTCTTCCTCCTCCTCTGAAGCAATTTCCTCAGCTGTGATCTGTTGCTGTTCCAATTGAAGGTGTTGCAGCTCTTCAGTGATTATCTCTTCCCATGGTCATCCACCAACTCTTCCACATCCTGGCCACTCACATCCAACCCCATGGACTTCCCCAAAGACACAATAGATTCCACAACAGGCGTAGGGTCATCAGGGTCAGCCTCAAACCCTTCAAAATCCTTCTTTTGAACACATTCTGGCCACAATTTTCTCAAAGCAGAGTTCTCCAAGTGGATTTCCCATACATCCTGGCGAGATCGGCCACCCTTATGCCACTTTCGTGCTTAGCTACGATTTCTTTTTTGAATTCTATCGTGTTTCTTGTCTTCTTTATCAAAAGGCTGGTACTTGGAACTTTCTTTGGCCCCATGGTGGCTTATTTAGCAGTCACACTCAATAAACAAGCACAAAAAAGAATGGATGATTACGAAATGTTTCAGCTGAATGCACAGGGTGATGCTCGCTCAATGATAAAGGTAGACTGAGTCATTCAGTGCTTGAGTGGCCTAGTGATGCAGGCAGGCAGGCGGACGCATTCGGTATGGACCACTGCCAACTCTACGAAAACTAAGGTGATGTAAGAAAACTGGGACAAAATTTTGACGGAAAAAGTCATCAAAAACCGAATCTTTCAAAAACTGGGGCATACGAAAACTGAGGTTCCACTGTACAAAGAAATTATACCAATCCAAACGAACCTCCCATCTTAGTCACCAAAACAGTAAATAAACTAAACTTCTCGATAAATGGAACAAACATAGCCATCGAACTCCAAACTTTAGTTAGAGATTACCTCAATGACATTTACCCATGCTCTCTATTTTTCCTTGACCAATTCTACAAATGTAACTTAAATAACAAATTCTCTCTCTAAAAAAAGAAGAAAAAAAAAAGATAGAAACAAGGCCACTATACCACCACTAATATACAATATAAAAAACAGCTGTGTTAGAAATATTAGTATTGACACTTGTGTAGTCCTGCATAGCCTTTGTAACACCTGGCACTACTATCCAGCCTGTAGCTGTCGGAGTGCCCCAGGGTAGTGTCTTAGCCCCACTCCTCTTTCTCGACATCAATGATCTCCCCAATGCATCTCAACTCCTTAAACCAGTTCTATTTGCAGACAACACTACTTATGTCTACTCCCACTCAAACCCAGCTATACTTAGAGACACTGTAAACAACGAGCTGCTAAAAATATAAGCTTAGATGATGACCAACAGACTCACTCTCAACATAGACAAAACATACTTCATGCTGTTTGGAAACAGAGCCTTAAATACTGTATCCAACTTATAAACTTATTCTTACAAACTTCCACCCTGACTACCTCACATTAGTATTAAGATAAACTAAAGATTTATTAAAAAATTAACCACTCTTATCTTGTCTAGACTTAAGTAACTATGTATGTATTAGGATTAGTTTGCCCAATATGCCCCAGCATAATAGCGGCTTTCTTTGTACTTAACAAATCAAAATTGTAAGTACACAGTGTAACCTCTACAAAGGAATAAAATCTTTAATATTATTTTAATCTTTAATGTGCAGGTGGTTTGGCAGAATGTGTTAAACCCAGACATAGCATTCTCATTCTTATGGAAGAGACAAGCTATTGATGCATGTGTGGGAGGCTTGTCTTATAGCTGTGGCCTATGGTAGTTGAAATCTAGCACTAGAGTGAGGGTAACGTGTGGCTGCACCTCCTCTGTGTATGCCTTTGTTAAAATAAACTGCAAGATCTGAGGATGCCTTTTACTCACTCCATTAGCTAGTGAACCCATGCGCTGTTTGCTGTCACCTACCACTGTAACATCATTCAACAAATTGAAAGACACCAAAACCTTCCCAAACATACTTAAACTAGCAGAGGATATGCCAATCAACAAAACAGGAGACCAATAGAAATAAACTACATGCCAATACAGTATTTAACTTACCATTCCTAAAAATTTTGAAAACATACAAATAAATATACATAGTGACAACTAAACATGATACTCTTAATACTTGCCAGTTTAGTTTCAAGTCAAGAGAAAAGTAAGAATGCAATAATAAAAATGTATACATCTCTAGAAAAAATGAATATCCAACAGGCCTCTTTAGTGACTCAAGATAAGTTTTCTATATAATAGATCACAACATCCTGCTACTTAAACTAGGACATTATGGAATCAGAAGCCAAGCTCTCACATTCCCTTCAAGGGTGAGGGGGCTCCTGATTCAAGGAATTTTACTTGGAATTTATAGACTTAGTTTTCATAATACATAATAACACCAAAGCTCTGAAAAAGTATTTACTGAAAAATAAGAGTATACATGTACATATCAGAAAGACAAAAAGTGGAAAATAAGATGATAAATCTAGTTGTTACAGCAGTTGCAGTTGCGTACCTGTTGTCTACAATAAAATTGTGGTGTTAATGATGAAGAGAGTGTTGTGCAAGACCATACTATATGTATACAGTCATCCCTAAAAATTCATTGAACAAGGGGTTACATTTCTAGGGGTCCTGAGAAACTAAAATCCACATATACAAAATTAAATGTGTATAAAGAAAATAAGATTTCAATTCATATTGTTTCAGAGCCCTATATATCTACACCTTTAATCTGATTAATATTGATGCTTAAAAAATAATTTGGGTTGGAAAAAACTGAACCAGAAAAATGTGGGTTGCCCAATGAGTAAAAATACAGCGAATAAGGAAGGCACTGAAGTTGTGCAAACAACTGTACTTCCCATTTTATCTATATCTCTGACATCTCATTCTCTCTTGAAGCAAGATTGTCCTCCTTTCTTTTATTGTGATATCTACATAACCTGTTTTCTCATGAGATATATGATCTATGTTATTCTGGCAGCTTATTTGAGTAAATACCAGTGGGAAAATTTTTAGTGCTACATTAGGTAAGAGAACTGGAAAGCAGAGGTGTTTATACAGTAGTTTGAAGTTTACACATTACTAACCTAATGGGGAGGTGGTGTTGGAGGTATTGGCAGGCCGGTATTGGTCGTAGTGTTGGGCTCGGAGGGCATTGTAATTATAACGAGGTGGAGGCTTGGAACACTCATCATATGGATCTTCATCACTCCCAACACTTGATGAATCTGTTAAAGAATAACTTTTGGTAACTGACTTACATGTCAAATTAATAATACCAGTACATGTATTCAGAATATATTTGTACATGTAAATATGTATTATATTAAATCCAGTCAAGCCTGTGCATTGATGGTAAATTAAAACAAAATACAGAATAACATTACTTAAATGTATTATGAATACAGCATATACAAAATATATCTTCCAAACCTTTAATTTATATTTTTATGCTATGGCAACAATTAATTTTTTACATCACTATGATACTTTATACTCTTAAAATGTAATACGTATATTTCCCTATTTCTTTAATACACATGATAACACGCAGGAACAAGACGACAGCTTGTACCACAAGATTAAAAAGTTGGTTAGTCTCGCTACTGCTTTATGTACATTTTTAACGTTCAGTAATTAGTTTTAATTTCAATCCACAAAATACAAATGTTGCTTCAGTGACTGTTAGTTGAGCCGCAGGTGACACCTTTCCAAGGTCAGTGTTTAGAGAAGATGCATAGATGTTATCTCGGCTGAAAGTTAGTTCTGGGTTCTATAATTTATATTTAGAGGTTAGGTAAATACATTACCGAGTTAGTGTTACTGTCAATATAATTTAGGTTTTACCATAGTGTAAATTTCAGGGATAAGAATTAAATCTATATAAAGTACCAGTACTGATTACTGTATGTTTAAAATATACTGCACTATAGGATTATGTTAATACTTTCATGATGATATACATACTACAGCAAAGAAATTTTTAAAGCACCTATGTAATTTAATGTTCAAAGCATTTTATTTTCAATATGCAAAAATTTAAAAGTTTTAGAATAAACAATACAACCTTAAAAATAAAATAACAATCTTTATATTTTAAAAAGGAAACAGACATTACAATGAGTGGGCTTGCAGTTGTTGCACAGATTATAAAAAAAAGAAGCCTATAGTTATGCACAGCATTTCAGGCAGACAAATTATTAATACACTGTTGTACTTTAATACTGTATTATAATAAAACAATTAGATACTTTTGAATATAAATACAGTGTACTGAACACACAGCTTTATAGAGATAGCAGTGCTGAATAGGGATGTTGACAAACATTTCTACTTCATTCCTTTTTCAGGTAAGCTAACATTTTTTTGCTTATGTACAGCACACAAACTATGAAACCACCTTACACTTCAAATTTTTCTTATTTTCTATAGTAATGCTCTTCCTCTCAACATCTGTACCATTACCATCCTGATCTTTATGATTTTTTAGTACTCAGGAAAAAAGGGACAGAATGCTACAGACGAACTGTGGCGAACACCTAAACATGCTGTCTTGTTTAATTTATATGTTTTCTCATTAACTCCAGCAAGTCAAAATAATAAATGCTGAAAACCAAGTCTGCCAATCCTGGAGAGTGGGCAACAATGACAGCAAGCAGTGTGCATACTATATGTTTCACTTGTTGGTGACAGCTGCCAGACACGAGGACTTTGTACGACCACGGTAATGGTCGTTAAGCAGGAAGATTCTTTTTTGATCATTATTCAAAATTACATTCTACAAACATTCAAGTCAGGATCAACTGTGCTGTACATAAGGTTTAAATCACAGTGCTGTATACTATATTTTTGTTTGTTGTATTTGTTGAATATGTATATTAATCAACAGAATGCTAGGATCCACTCTTTATACCTCTAATCTTTTTCACTACTTTCCTCAGAATGAGTTTAGGAGGCATAATAAAGCTACAGTATTAAACCAGTAATTTGTACAGTACTGTATAGGAAATGAGTGACGAGTTTTTTTTTCCCTACCTTGGTGAAAAAAATAGCATTAGTGATAAAAAAAATTGTCTGGTTCTTGACTGTTCTCATTTGATTGTGGTGGGAATGCATGTGTACACATCTGTATTTCATTATGTGCTCAATGACATACATCTGCTAAGTAACCTCTGGCATATTGGTGCTGGATATTCACCCCCTTAAAAAACAGATCACATAAGTAGTGTTTTACCTCTCAGTATACAACTTATTTCAGCATATGTATATGTGTACAGTATATATGTATATACAGAATAATGTATATATAGTACTCCCTATATAATTTTTTCAATAGCCATTTCCCTCCAAGAAGAAAGTCTATCTTTTTGTCGATTAAGAATTTTTTCCAACAAGGAATCAGATCTCAATATTTTGAGTTTGTAATTAATTAGCTAAAAAATCTTTTAATAAAAACAAATCAAAATATTAAAAAAAAAATCCAAACTTCACAAATATTATAGGTAAGAAGCAGTCATAAATTTAGCTATTATTGACTAAGTGTTAATAAAAAAAACATTTATATAACTTTCTTTAGAAAATCTGAGAAGGGTATTCACAAACATATTTAGTATAGTGTTATAGAGAAGACCAATCCCAGCACTAAAGCAGCATCTCAGAAATGAGCACATACAAATCTCTAGAGTAATTGCACAAGGCCTGATAGAGCAGCAATCAGTGCTCTCCCAGATAACATAATACAGGCTCAATGCACAATACATACACAGCACACTGACAAAGAAACATACATTATCCACACACCTCTGAAGGGTTCTTCTTCACACCACAAAAGTAGAGATTTTGATGCAGGAGACAACCAGTATATAAATTACTGTATTGCAGTGTATTGTTTAATGAAACAGTTTTAGCATTTATGTTCATAATGTGTACATTGCTATATCAATGGCTTGCATAGTTCACTGATGTCTACGTGGAAGTTCTATCTGGCATTATACCTGGTAAACAGGAATACAAGAAGCATCTCTCACACACACACAGCAAAATCCTAGTCACTAGCTGTCATTAACAACAAATAATATATACATTCTTTCTTTCAATGTACCAGCCGTATCCCACTGAGGTGGGGTGGCCCAAAAGAAAGAACTAAAGTTTCTCCTTTTAAATTTAGTAATATATACAGGAGAAGGGGGTTACTAGCCCCCTGCTCCCAGCATTTTAGTCGCCTCTTACAACACGAATGGCTTACGGAGGAAGAATTCTGTTCCACTTCCCCATGGCAGTAAGAGGAAATAAACAAGAACAAGAACTAGAAAGAAAATAGAAGAAAACCCAGAGGGGTGTGTGTGTATATACACCTACCATCCGACTTATGACCTGCTCGACTTACGACCGTGTTTTTTATGCCAAATTTCTGGGAAATAAACAACTATTTGTGTTGTACACAGTGTTTATCCTAAACCTTACAGTATAAATACAGTACTAACAGCATAAAAAGTAAAGTAAAACATGAAATACCAAAATAAAACAATAAAATACAGTCATTACAAAAATGTTTTGTTGATATTCAGTAGTAAAGTTCGACTTACGACCGGTTTCTCGGAACCGAACTCGGTCGTAAGTCGGATGGTAGGTGTATATGCTTGTACATGTATGTGTAGTGTGACCTAAATGCAAGTAGAAGTAGCAAGACATACCTGAAATCTTGCATGTTTATGAGACGAACAAAAGACACCAGCAATCCTACCATCATGTAAAACAATTACAGGCTTTCGTTGTACACTCACTTGGCAGGACGGTAGTACCTCCCTGGGCGGTTCCTGTTTCCCAACCTACTACGTAGGAGATATACAGTATATACATCTTTCTTTCAACACACCGGCCGTATCCCACCGAGGCAGGGTGGCCCAAAAGGAAAAACGAAAGTTTCTCCTTTTACATTTAGTAATATATACAGGAGAAGGGGTTACTAGCCCCTTGCTCCCGGCATTTTAGTCGCCTCTTACAACACGCATGACTTACGGAGGAAGAATTCTATTCCACTTCCCCATGGAGGTAAGAGGAAATAAACAAGAACAAGAACTAGAAAGAAAATAGAAGAAAACCCAAAGGGGTGTGTATATATATGCTTGTACATGTATGTGTAGTGTGACCTAAATGCAAGTAGAAGTAGCAAGACATACCTGAAATCTTGCATGTTTATAAGACAAACAAAAGACACCAGCAATCCTACCATCGTGTAAAACAATTACAGGCTTCAGTTTTGCACTCACTTGGCAGGACGGTAGTACCTCCCTGGGTGGTTGCTGTCTACCAACCTACTACCTAGGAGATATATAGTATATGTATCTTTCTTTCAACACACCGGCCGTATCCCACCGAGGCGGGGTGGCCCAAAAGGAAAAACGAAAGTTTCTCCTTTTACATTTAGTAATATATACAGGAGAAGAGGTTACTAGCCCCTTGCTCCCGGCATTTTAGTCACCTCTTACAACACGCATGGCTTACGAAGGAAGAATTCTGTTCCACTTCCCCATGGAGAATATAGTATATTATATATTGTGTATTTTTATACATATATACTTCTAAGCTGTTGTATTCTGGGCACCTCTGCAAAAACAGCGATTATGTGTGAGTGAGGTGAAAGTGTTGAATGATGATGAAAGTATTTTTCTTTTTGGGGATTTTCTTTCTTCTTGGGTCACCCTGCCTTGGTGGGAGACAGAGAACTTGTTGCAAAAAAAAAAAAAATTAATATATATTCTTTCTTCTTTCAAGAAACTGGCCGTATCCCACCGAGGTGGGGTGGCCCTAAAGGAAAAACGAAAGTTTCTCCTTTTACATTTAGTAATATATACAGGAGAAGAGGTTACTAGCCCCTTGCTCCCGGCATTTTAGTTGCCTCTTACAACACGCATGACTTACGGAGGAAGAATTCTGTTCCACTTCCCCATGGAGATAAGAGGAAATAAACAAGAATAAGAACTAGAAAGAAAATAGAAGAAAACCCAGAGGGGTGTGTATATATGTGCTTGTACATGTATGTGTAGTGTGACCCAAGTGTAAGTAGAAGTAGCAAGACGTACCTGAAATCTTGCATGTTTATGAGACAGAAAAAAGGACACCAGCAATCCTACCATCACGTAAAACAATTACAGGCTTTCGTTTCACACTCATTTGGCAGGATGGTGGTACCCCCCTGGGTGGTTGCTGTCTACCAACCTTCTACCTA